TCTGGGTGTAATTCACCCTCACAGTGCATACTTATTTTGAATGTTGGTTCACAATCACTGTGAATCGATATCGAGTGCCACGGATGCCTCTTCCTGTGACATCGGGTACCGAGTGGCAACAGTTTTAGAGGCCACACCTTGCTGATGAGAACCATCAAGTCCGAACGACTCCACGGCTTTTTCTTGTTTACAACCAACAACACTGGAATATGCGAATGGCTGAGCGCAGCCCAGCTCATCGCGTCTACCAATCACCGTGTGGTTAACGTGGCTGGAGGTGAACTGACTCGCGCCCCCTGTGTCTGACTCCTGCAGATTCACCTGAAGGAGACCAACCGGTATGGACTCATGAAATCACACAAATCAACACATGGGGTGACGCCGTGTGTGGGACATGGGCTGCGTGATGATGATAATGTGTGTAATGATGATGTGTGGTATGATCCTGTGAGTGATGGTGTATGTTGATGATGTGTGGTATGATGCTGTGTGAAATTATACTGTATGGGACCTCTTGCCTGTATCATAGTGTAGTGACTGACTCAGAGACACTAAGAGTAGGAGGCACTCTAATTATTAAACGGCCTTAACAGTTCACACTTGGTAACTACGATTCCCAGTCAGGACAGCTGGCAGACTGCCTGACTGGCGACGCTGAGATGGTGAAGACGGAGATGAAGAAGACTCCAGCAGCAGCACGACGGGATCCCACTCCACACGACAGCCCCGAGGTCCCCTCCCGGGGCCACTCTTATACTCTCAGCATGGCCTGGCTCCACCCCGGCCACGCCCCCCTTCTGGAACCTACTAGCAGGTTCTCGATGTGTCCGTTTTGTGACCCTTCCCCTACATACGTCTAAGGTCTATCACGCACGTGACCTGTTGTCAGTCAAGGCTGCTGTAAGCTGAAGATTCCCTTACCTGCCAGGAGCCAGCGCTATGCTATGCGACCGATTCTATGTTACTACAATAGTATGAAAAATAAGGATAGGTTTTACCGTATCTGACAATAATACAGGTGTTAAGCTGTTCAAACAGCAATATATACTTTTGGCAAGGACTCAAATCTGCATTAAACCACACGTACTTGTGATGAACTTGCAAACAAACATGCTCACTGTTCGCCGTTTGGCGTTCTCTGGTCTGACACTGGTGAGACTAGGCCATAAAGAAGGCTGTCTCTGTTATAGGCCAATCAGTTTCAAAGACATTGCATCAAATATAATTATCAGAGAATGTTTGTTTGCTTGTTCACCACAAGTACGTGTGGTTAATGCAAATTGTATTCCTTACAAAATATATCTATTTGGTGTTTGAACATCAGAGCACATAGTTTATTGCCAGAAAGGGCAAAACCTTTTATTTATTTTTCATAAGATGATGCTGGGTAAGACACGGGCTGAGTGATGATGCTGTGAGTGATGATGCTGTGAGTGATGATGCTGCTGTGATGATGCTGTGTGATGATGCTATCTGTGTTGGTGCTGTGTAAGACACGGGCTGTGTGAGTAACTGCTGGTTCTGGTCTCACAGGAGAGACACTCAGAAAGGATCTCCACCTTCATCTCCCAGTGAAGAAGACATCGCCTCGATCAGCGCCCTGCAGGGAGCTGTGGTCAACCTGCTGGCATTCATGTGTGAGTTCCACAGACTCTTGCCACGTGTGCATCTGTTATTGTGATGTACTTTGGCTTGTACATGTATGTTGCGCTGCGGTAGTGTCGTTGTCCCGAGTGTGAATCCCCCTCAAGGCCAACACCACTGATGGGTTATCTGAACTGGTCCTGGACCTCCCGTAGGTCAAATGAGTATCTGGTGTGGTGTAAACATCACCACTAGGGAGACAAAGGCGGCCTGACGTGGTGCTGGCCACTCACCCTCTCGTGTGCCGTGCGGGCCTTCATAGGTGCTTACTAACAGCACTTACCCCAAAAGTCTGTTGAGGATATGCGGGGGTATCGTGTCTTTGTAATAGTGTATAGATCTATATTGAACTTCTTCCACACCAACCGTGCTAATCGGAGGTGTATGGGTGTATGGATGAGCGAGAGTGAGTACGGATGTCCAGTGAAGATGGGAGTGGATTCAGTGGTGAGTGGATTCAGAACCAATTTTGGAGCTCTCCTAGGTCCACTCAGCCTTAATGAGTACATAGGACCGTCTTGTAAAGATCACCAATGCAAACACAAAGGCTGCCTGTAGGATTTGTATGGTTCAATGATAAAGCCTATGGTTTGTAGAACGAGATCAAGGTACGTTTAGGAATCGTATGGTTGATTGTTAATACCCAAGGAGCATGCGTCCAGACTAAGAAACATTTAGGAGTCTTAGGCTTCATGTTAACAGTTTGATGCACGGAGTTAAACTAAGGCACTTTTGGAATTCTTAGGTTCCCCAGTTAATGGCTGATGCTCACAGAGCCAGACTAAGGCATTACCATGGTCAACCTTGTCTATCACTCACTGTACGTGCAAACATAAACATTACGACTAGAATGAATTCATAATTCGATAATATATAGCACACACACTAGTGTATTACACTATTAGAAGTACTCCTTGATATTACACGCGTGTATTATCCAGTGAGCAGATTAATCTATGACTATAAGTCTTCTCTGTGATGGATGTCATCATCAGACTTGAGCCAGACTACATCACCGTTGTGATGTGTGAGATTCATTGTTAATGCTGTAGGCTGATAACCAAACTAAGGCAGCCTTAGGATTCTCAGGATTCATTCATATTTCTTGAGGCTGCTATATCCCTACTAAGTCACAATAAGGATTATTGGGGTTCAAGGTTAAAACCTGAGGCTCACAGAGCCAGACTGGGCTATCACTGTGGCTGACCATGTGTATCACTGTACATACAAACAGATACAGTACATTGCTTTTGCCCATGTATTGTAATACCTCTACGTTAACATACAGCAAACACATGAGCTCCATTAACACGACACGTGTATTATTGAATGAGGATGCTGTTGCTATGCTGTGTGAGTGTATTACACAGAGACACTATGGCTGATATTCTTAGGATTCATTATTAGTATTTGAAGCTCGATATCCAGACTCAGACAGAGTTAGGATTCTTAGGGTCCGGTGTTAATGCCGAAAGCTCTCAGAATCAAAGGCACCTTTAGGATTCTGCGTTAACATTCAGATGTTTATTAGATAGCCAGACCAAGGTTTAACCTTGGTTGACCGTCTAAATCACTACATAGGAAAAAGGCGAATTACTATAAAACATGTCAATATACCAACACGTAAATATATAGCACACACAAACACACATGAGTGTAAATCACTATTACACGAGCTCTATTAACACTACACGTGTGTATTATTGAGTGAAAATGCAATTGCTATTCTGCGTGAGTCTTTGACACACATGCTTTGGATTCTAATGATTCGTAATTAGTGCTTCAGGCAGCGACATACAGAATCGGACACCTTGAGGATTCTCAGGATTCAGTGTTACAGCCTGAAGCTCTCAGAATCAATTGCAACTTTAGGTTCTATTAGACAGCTAGACCAAGGCATAAACTGAGTTGCCCGTGTAAATCACTACACAAGCAACAACTAAGAACACTATCAATATCTACCGATAGGTTTATATAGACAGAGATCACTCGTGTGGCCGTAACGGACTGTAAGGGCAAGTGCTGTTAGCGAGCTCCTATGAAGGCCGGAACAGCACACGAGGGGGTGGGTGGCCAGCACCACGCCCGACCGCCTTTGTCTCCCCAGAGACGATGTTTACTATACACCGCAATCATAACTACACCAACACACACACACTAGTGTACATCACTACACTATCACACACACACACACGATTGCATATCACTACACTATCACACACACACACAAAGTGTACATCACTACACTATCACACACACAGTGTACACCACTACACTATGACACACACACACACGAGTGTACATCACTACACTATCACACACACAGTGTACATCACTACACCATCACAAACACACACGAGTGTACATCACTACACTATCACACACACACGAGTGTACATCACAACACTATCACACACACACAGAGTGTACATCACTACACTATCTCACACACACACACAGGAGTGTACATCACTACACTATCACACACACACAGGAGTGTACATTAATACACTATCACACACACAAATGTACATCACTACACTATCACACACACGAGTGTACATCACTACACTATCACACACACACACACGAGTGTACATCACTACACTATCACACACACACACACGAGTGTACATCACTACACTATCCACACACACGAGTGTACATCACTACACTATCACACACCACGAGTGTACATCACTACACTATCACACACACACGAGTGTACATCACTACACTATCACCACACACGGATGTACATCACTACCACTATCACACACACACAGTGTAACATCACTACACTATCACACACACACGAGTGT